GTACACTCTGGCACTGGGTTCACATCTGCCTCAGCCCGGAATTAAATATTTGTTAACAATTGAAAGGATGTGGCTTTTGTCACCAGAAGGACAGACAGCGTCAAACAAAAACGTGTTTACAACAACGGGGAAGGAAAATGTGGCTCTGTGTTGAAGTCAGAGATAAAAAAAAATCACACCACTTAGCTAAAGAGCTTGTCTAGACAGGGGAAGAAAGAAGCAAATAACAAACGCTTGGGTTTACTAGTAATCAGGAGAGAGGAGAATAAAAATTTTATTTGACATCAGGGCAAAAGGTACTAACAGCAAGATTAGGTACAATGTCAAGATACTTGAACATAACCTGCGTTAGACTACAGAGTCAGACGTTCTAGCCAAGGAAAGGTTATGGGCACCAAATTTTTTTAGTTCTGAGAAAGAAGGGCACAAATAGCTTGTGAAATCTGAAGAACAATCAACTAAAGGGATTTTGGTTCAAAGACTATGAAAAAAATATGCATGTGTACATGTACATACATACATGCAGACACTCTAGGCCCTGTCTTTATGTGGGAAACTATTCCACTATCGTTTAGTTATTCCAGTGTAATTCAGATATTCCAGACTAATTTTTCCTCTCATGAATATGCTGGGACAATTTCATTAAATGCATACAGAGTGCTTTGGGAGACTTGGATAATAGTGCTATAAATTAGGTAATTTCTTAATATTGTTATCAAGATTTAACTTGTTTTTGAGTCATCTAGGTCATGTTTTCTCTGCTGCTCGTCATGATAGTAACCTGATTCCTTCATTAAATTTCATAATCTACGAATTGTTAAGTCCTCAGTGGTCTCCTTGGAATTTCTGAACTCTTTTCCCTTTTCAGTTATAGAAAGTCTTCTTGGGGCCATTTTATGGAAAGGCAGCGAGAAAGAAGGATGGTTGTTATTGTGAATTATGAAAGTGCAAAACAGATTCCTAAAGGGAGTCTTTTGCTGGGATCTTGCAATTAAGGTTCAGTACAGTATGTTTTACAACTAAGTTATAAATGTAAAAAATAAGAGACCTAATCCATTATTGGGATAATTCCATTTACTTATTCCATTGACTTTACTGACGTTACACAAGGGTAAATTTGGTTCAAGATGTTTTAAAGGAAATACTGAAGACTCCTGCCTCCAATTCAAAGTGTTTTTGCTGACCTAGATGAATGGAAAAAAAATAAAAGATTCTCAAATGGCCCCAGGTTACTCATGTCGTAAAATCACTTAACATTCTGCTGCTTTAGGGGTCTGTCTGCCATGATAGTAGTTCTAATAGTACCAATATAAAAAGGGAAGATGTACTAAAAGATTATAGCAACACATCCCAGAGTTATGAAAATATATCATCATTCTTCTAAGGTAAGCATTCAACTGGTAGGGAAACAAGAATGTATAGGTTAAAAAACAGTGTCTCAATTAAAAGGTAATATATAATTTGGATCCAAGATTCTGCAAAGTGTAGGGACATTTGGTTGTACCCATTACTAGTTAAGAGACTTATATAGGTTATGTTTGGGGTATGCAGTCAGTAAAGAACCAAGACAGAACCTGTATTTTCTGATTTCCAAGCTCTTCTCTTATCATTAGTTTTTTATTAGCATACATTAATTGTAGTGCCTAAAAAGCCTGGTGCATGTCTCTTTAATATATATCTAAATTTACATATATTGCTGTGCAATGTTATGATTACACAATTGTCCCTTTATCTAGCTTTCTTTTCACTTGTGCACAGTAATTAATCTTATGTGGAAGGTGTGTATCTAGGTTGATAATGTTCCTTTGCACTTGCATTACTCAGTTCTGATCATGCTTCACCTTGATCAGTATCCTCTGCTTTGGAAGCACATGAGTTGAATAGAGACCAGAGCCCTATTATCAGGGCCCCCAGCTATGTCCATGGGTTTCAGGCAGATCAGGATAGTCAGATATGCTGCTGAAGAGGGCAGGATCCAGAAAGTATCACTTAAACTGTGAAACAACTTGCCTGCCTATGAGGGTGTCTCAAATATAATATGCTCCTCTCCAATGCAAAAAAATACACAGAAGAGAATAATATTAACGCAGATAGGCAGATAGATGGGTGCTATGTGTAACTTTCCTCTATTATTCTAATTAGTGTGTCCATCTTCTGATGCAGAATTCACACAGGAAAAACTGCTACCACGTCTACTAGGAAACTTAAAAGCAGGATCAGGACTTCAGAGAACTCACTTCACCAAAGAACCCAGCAGGCCCAGCAAAGAAACGGGCAGCTGATAAAATGCCCTTCTTTAATGTGACAGGTACAGTTAAGTGAGGACATAGTGCCACACATCAGTTTGACCTACATCAGTCATTGCTAAGGAAAATGTGATCACCTGAATTGACAACTGGCCAGGAAATCTGTCATGGGATCACATGGCAAGCACCATGTGTAGATTTTAATGACTGCAAGTTAGCAGCACCTTGATTTCTTACCTCAGTACTGGGATACTTGGGATGATGTTACCCATTCAGTGTAGAGTTATAACTTTCCCTATGTCAGGTACAGTGCTGTGGGCATCATGCCTCTACAGTTTACTTTTGAGTAATCACTTGTTCATTCTCATGAGCAGGTGCAGTAATAGCAGCCTACAGTCTGCTACAGTGGAACAAGCTGTTTCTGTCTGTTTTGTACACTCATCATATACACAGGTGTTGAGAAGCAACGTACCCTACACTGTGGTGAATGAGTTTCCCAGGAAGCCAGGAAAACACAGCCACTTTAGCTATGCAGCATCTCTTGACATGGCACTGATCACAGGCAGAGCTAGGATTTTGAAAAGGGGGTGGAGATGGCAAGGTGCATCTTCATCATCATCATAGCACAACACATTTGTCTCCAGTTTAAAAATAAACTAGAAGCTGTACTAATAGTCTGTGGGTCCGGGGCTGTATGATTCAGTTTAAGATTGAAACACAAACAAATAGAACATCACTGGAACAACACTAAGATGTGGGGGGAAGTGGGCACGCTACAAGGGAGGAATAGGCTGCAATCGGACCTAGACAGGTTACAGGGGTGGGCGGATGAGAACAGGATGGGTTTCAACACTGACAAGTGCAAGGTGCTGCACCTGGGGAGGAAGAACCAGCAGCATACCTACAGGCTGGGGAACTCCCTTCTCGTCAGAGCAGAGGCAGAAAAGGATCTTGGAGTCATTATTGATACCAAAATGAACATGGTCCGAGAGTGTGGGGATGTGGTCAGGAAGGCTAACCATGCCTTATCATGCATCCACAGATGCATCTCAAGCAGGTCCAAGGAGGTGATCCTCCCCCTCTATGCAACACTGGTCAGGCTGCAGTTGGAGTACTGAGTCCAGTTCTGAGTGCTGCACTTCAGGAGGGATGTGGACAGCATGGAGAGGGTCCAGAGGAGGGTCACTCGCATGATCAGGGGGCAGCAGGGCAGGCCCTACGAGGAGAGGCTAAGGGACCTGAATCTGTTTAGCCTCCACAAGAGAAGGCTGAGGGAGGATCTAGCAGTTGTTTACAAACCAGTCAGGGGGGACCAGCAGGCATTGGGGGAGTCCCTGTTCCCCCGAGCACTACCAGGAGTGACAAGAAATAACAGTCACAAGCTGGCAGAGGGTAGATTTAGACTAGATATCAGGAGGCACTACTTCACTGTCAGGGCGGCTAGGACCTGGAACCAACTTCCAAGCAAAGTGGTGCTGGCTCAAGAGACCCTGGGGGTCTCTAAGAGGAGGCTGGATGAACACCTTGTCAGGGTCATTTGACCCCAGTACTCTTTCCTGCCATGGCAGGGGGTCGGACTTTATGATCTGCTCAGGTCCCTTCCGACCCTACCATCTATGAAACTATGAATTAAAAACCCTCTGCAGGCCTGGGAAGCAGGAGCTTTATGACCAGGAATAGCTACCAGCAGTATGGCAGAGGAAAGGCTAGCTTGACTGGTGGTACATCCAGAGCATTATAAAGGAGACAGGGTCATGCACGCCTGTGGAACGAAGAGTTTAGAAGGCATCAGGTAGAGGATGATGAGCCATGAAATCAAGTGACTCCCTCAGCACTGCCTGAGTAGCAATGCAGCCGCTGCTCTAAACTTTGAATGGAGCAGGGGTCAAAGCGGCGTGAAAGTGCACCTGGATCCACTGATTCAGTACAGGCTGAGAGGGAAAACTTTCCCTGATGACCCACCAGCCCCGTGGCCTTTTCTGGCACCCGCTATTGCTTAGCTCTGTGGTTCTCAACTGGAGAGGCACGCAGCATGCTGAGGAGGCGGGTGATCCTTTCGTGGGTGCCAGCTAGGGTGGCCATCATAGAGGACATTCCAATTTTCTGCTACTCTGTTCTCTTTTCTTGAAGAGAAAAATAGAGGACGTAAAGGTGTCGGGTTTTGTATCAAGAGGACAACTGGACTGTCCTCTATGATGGCCACCCTAGTGCCAGCCCTGCCAGGTAGATAAACACAATTCCCAGGATAAACCCTGAGATTCCCACTGGGAACCCAGGGTGTTACCAAGCACTCTGCCCCCTGGGCTCCCTCAGCTCTTAGCTGCAGAAGAATCGCTCTGGCTTTTGTGTGGTGAAACAATAAGGGGAAAAGCTCAACATAGGCATTTTCTGAGGGGACCGGGAGGTTCTCCAGCCTGTGCAGGTTGGCAAGCCCCGGGGGGGCGGGGCTTGGGAAACCGCAAGATCTGGCTGAAACAGCTAGGATTATTGAGCCTGGAAAAGAGAAAGACTGGTGGGGCACCGTAAAGGTGATTATAGAGAGAATGGAGATGGGCTTTTCTCTGCGGCTCTAGGGGCCAGGACAAGGAGCAAGGGCCACAAGCTGCAGCAGAGGGCAGTCAGGTTGGCGACGAGGAAAACACTTCCCGCTAGGAACGCGGTCACGCCCCGAGCAGGCGCCTGGCCCCTGCCAGGGCCCGGGGAAGGCGGTGCGAGCCCCGGGCGGGGCGGCGCATGC